TTCACTTGGCAGGGTTCGAGCTCGCAACTAACCGCACTACTTGTCGTCTCTACTCAACAGCCACACCAGCCACAAAAACAAAGAAAATAGTTTCCTTGGTAGGTTTCGATCTCGCGAAGAGAATATAATCGCAATTGCAGAGCTTTTGACAGAATTCGAATCAGGCGCGCAGGATTGTGTGTGTCGCAAACACGTGTTTCTTAACCGATATTTATGTGGGTTTTAGCAAATTGGGTAAATAATAAGATCTAAAGTCATTAAATTGATATGTTGTTTCTAGAATAGTATACATATATTAAGTATCATCATTTTAAGGCTATCACCACCTCCCAGATGCCGCCGAAAAGCTTAAAATCAAGTTATTAACCCAACTTGTATTGTCCACCAAGTGATGCTACAACTTTTATGCAATTGTTTTTGAGAATACACGAATATTTTATGGTACAATAAGGTATACTGCAACAATTTTTATCAAGATAGGCTAAGAAACAGAATATGTACTTTGTCTGCCTACGTGTTTGCGGTGGCTAGCGCAAATTCCAAGAATTCCTGTATGCACACATTTATGAATTCTGCTGAATCTGCTGAATGATATCAACAGCATTGCGATTGCGATTTTATTGCTTTGTTTATTGCTATTTAATTCGTTTCTGTTTTGTCCTTAAAATTAATAATTGTCGTGGCTGTTGGGTAGAGATAGAGACAAGTATCGACAAGTTGGTGGAAAAGTAGATGATACTGCGGGGCATTCCAGGTCTTCACATAGTGCGCGACACTTGTCTTATAAGCATCAGGCTCCCGGCCTTGCCACACGAATCGCTGGGCGCATCTATCCTGCGGTCGAATCAACACTTGATAAAACATCTCTTGGATGTCTCCACAAATGCCAACGGCACCTTCCCGTAAATGGAAGAGAGCAGCTGGCAGCAACTTATGGTGCTGCGGCCCCTTGGATTTTGCCGAATTCAATGAAATGTCACCGACCTTGGCCGCCGCTTCGAACACACGTCTTATCTTTCCGGGCTTATTTGAATTTAATCTCCAAGGTGCGGCAGAGACCGAAGTTTGTCGCTGTTGGCTCAAGCGACCTTATGATGCTCCAATCGTCGAGCATATTCATTATTAACATAACGTGCCTATGTTCGTTTGAACTGATCGTTACGTCGTTTCATCTTTCTCTCAATATTGACCAATCTTTGTATGTCATATCATAGCTTCATAGCTTCCATAATAACCCTGTCTGGCAACGTTCCCCTATTTTCACATGGTGCCTTCGAGTATCTTCTGTGCTCGTGCATCGTCACATATGCTGGACCAGTTTTTGACCTCTGCAACTCGTGCTCTAGCGCAGCGACTCTCTTTATCAAGTCCATTACTTGCGTACTTGAGAGTTGCGTGCTTGGGCTTGGCGCTCCTGTCAATGTGCTGGCTCGTGCAGTCACTCCCGCGGCCACAGTGCCGGCAGGTTGTACACTTGTGTCCACATCTTCGGTGCTGGGGCTTTGTAGTGCGCTAACAGCGGGAACTTGCATTTGTGATACAGTGCTCACCATTCTACTTGTCCGCTTTGCTCTTGGCCATTGTTTAAGCGTTGGCTTTTCCTAGGTGACCGTTGTGTCATCCTACTTAGCTCGGAGATAGTTTCTACTATATTTTACGCTGGCTGCGTACCAATGGTGACTCTATAACTGGGTGGAGGCAGGCCCTGCCTGTGCTGTGTCTATGTACACACACAGTAACACCAAAGTTACACCACGCTTTGTCTTCAACGCAAGTCGCCCCTGCAGTTTCTTACAATAAGAACTACGAATAAAAGATCATGTCGCGTGCCAAACGAAGATGGAGTTGCAATTTGAACACTGCAAGGCTTACGCCTGGCCCCCGTCCATATTACTCCGATGTTACCAGAGGAGACAGCGTACTGCAAAACGTGCTAATGCAAGTGTTTTATTCTAAACGGATTTTTTATTTTTATATGTTGTTAATATAGCTTTCAGGTATAGTTTCAATTAGAGCCAAAGTCTAGTAACTTTTGTAATACCATAAGGTTTTAATAGAATCGACGTAATAATCATAATAATTCATTTTCTATCTGCTTTGGCAAAATTGTGTTCTTTTCAATTTTATTTGATATTATTATATTATATCGTATTTTCCTCTTCGTTTTTTCATTCTCCATATATCTGTTGCTTTTGTCGAGAAAAATACTTCATTTTTAAAATATTAACATATATCGCAATTGTGTTCATATTTGTATCTCCATATATAAAACTGTTTGTCCTGGCTGACTGAATGACTGATTGGTCTGTCGATCCACGCATAGCCCAAACCGTAAGAGCGAGGAAGCTGAAATTTTCACGAGAGTTACCTTATGTGACGAAGTGCACGTTAAGACGGAGTTTCGGGAAATTCCACCCGCAAGTAAGGAAAAATCTCGAAAAACGTTTAAAAAAACGTCTATACCCTGAACCCATTAAACATGGGTGAAAAGGGTATAATGCTTTTGTGCAAATGTAAATATATGTAACAGGCAGAAGGAAGCATCACAGATCCCATAAATTGTATATATTCTTGATCAGCATCAACAGCTGAGTCGATTAAGACATGTCCGTCTATCTGTCCGTTCGTCTATATGTATGAACGCAAGGATATCAGAACCTATAAGAGCTAGTTACTTAAAATTAGCTGTAGGTCCTCCGACTAGCTGGCAGATCGAGTCTGTTTACGATATTCGATAACTTGTCGCGTTTCCAAGTAATCGGTTAAAATCAATTTTCGCCTCATCGTAGAAGGTGGCGTCATCCCAATATTCGGTAGGTTGATTGTGGTACATTGTGGCAAAGGAAAATCGTTTTCAAACATTAACATCAGAGAGCATTGGTTTCTTGCGAGCAGCTCTTGATTTGTAGTCGTGTCGTAGTATGGGATGCATCCAGATCCAACTCTTTCTTCAGTTCTATTGCAATAGTTCTCATTGAAATCATCGGATTGTAATCCTGTTTTTTTTTTTTACCAATGCGCGCCCCGCTCGCTTATTTATTTTTAGCTTCCGACCGGTTCCTTTGTTTCGCTCCAATCTTCCCTCTTTTTCAGCACGTTTTATAATTTTATAAATGGTCTTGCGGGTTACAGAAAAGATTTCTGATTTCCTGTGTACTTGCACCCAATAGGTGATTAAAATACAATAACTGGACTATCTCAAGCGATAATCTCTTGCCTGGCATTTTTAGGAATGCATGAATAATTTCTGACGCGCAGTTTATAAAAAGCCAAATTCGTAGAACAAAGCATGTGCAAGGGAAAAGTTACTGTAAATTTACCGCTATTCAATGCATAAACGCAAGGAGGAATGCAGAAAATTGTTGTGTAAACAATTGTCTGACAGCGGCAAAACCGACTATTTTTGGTTTTTGATTTATTTCTCACATATCATTCTACTTTCTTTGACTATTTTTATGAATCCTTTTAGCAAATACTATAAGAAAACTATGATAAATTAAAAAAAATATTTACCACATTTAAATGTATTTACTTTTGCTAAGAAAGTCGAAAAATATTTTATTTTTTCTAATGTAAAAACAATTTGTCGACATACTGTATATAAAATACACAATTACAAAATATGATAAATTTTTTAATAATTAAGTATTATTCTCGACAACCATAAGGTTTTATTAATCGACGTAAAAAACATAAACAAGAGGTTCTAGTCAGGAGCTCCCAACTAGGGCATACCCTGAACCTTCTTATTCCAGCACCAAATTCAAAGTAAGAAAGATAATTTAAAAAAAAAAGAAGTTCACTTGGCAGGGTTCGAGCTCGCAACTAACCGCACTACTTGTCGTCTCTACTCAACAGCCACACCAGCCACAAAAACAAAGAAAATAGTTTCCTTGGTAGGTTTCGATCTCGCGAAGCGAATACAATCGCAATTGCAGAGCTTTTGACAGAATTCGAATCAGACGCGCAGGATTGTGTGTGTCGCAAACACGTGTTTCTTAACCGATATTTATGTGGGTTTCAGCAAATTGGGTAAATAATAAGATCTAAAGTCATTAAATTGATATGTTGTTTCTAGAATAGTATACATATATTAAGTATCATCATTTTAAGGCTATCACCACCTCCCAGATGCCGCCGAAAAGCTTAAAATCAAGTTATTAACCCAACTTGTATTGTCCACCAAGTGATGCTACAACTTTTATGCAATTGTTTTTGAGAATACACGAATATTTTATAGTACAATAAGGTATACTGCAACAATTTTTATCAAGATAGGCTAAGAAACAGAATATGTACTTTGTCTGCCTACGTGTTTGCGGTGGCTAGCGCAAATTCCAAGAATTCCTGTATGCACACATTTATGAATTCTGCTGAACCTGCTGAATGATATCAACAGCATTGCGATTGCGATTTTATTGCTTTGTTTATTGCTATTTAATTCGTTTCTGTTTTGTCCTTAAAATTAATAATTGTCGTGGCTGTTGGGTAGAGATAGAGACAAGTATCGACAAGTTGGTGGAAAAGTAGATATACAAAACATTTAGTTTTTCAATTCTATGCTTCCTTCATTAATGCAAAATGCTGTCAACATCGGACCCTACAAATCATATAGCTGCCATACTAACGATTAGTTGAAAGTATGTTCTCTTTTGAACAACTGTTTGATTTTTCAAAATATTTGGACCAAACAGCATTTCCTCTATATACCATGATGCTTATACGTGGACCAAACACTATCAAGGTGGCAAGGCTATGTTATAGGAGGAATCGGTCGTAAAGTGACTTTTTTGTGGCAACATTATAATTTCCAAGATATCTGCAAAACCTTTATACTGTATAATTATAAATGTCTAAAAGGGTATTAAATCTTCGGCGCGCTGAAGATACTCTCATATAAACTTATGTATAAGATAATTTAATATTTCGAACGCTGCCTAATCTATTCTGTTGGTAAAATAATTCCACTATCAGTATTATAAACATCTCTTCTATTTTAGAATAACAAACGATGCAAGAGAGGATGAAATGGAAGAAAATGTGGGACAGGTTAATACAATGATAGGTAATCTTCGAAACATGGCATTGGATATGGGCTCAGAACTAGAAAATCAAAACCGTCAAATAGACCGAGTTAACCGCAAGGTAAATAACATTTTAATCAATTTTTTTTTAAATATTCAACATTATAATTCAATCTTTACCCACTAGAGTTTTATTCTTAAAATAATACTTCTTAGGTGACAAATTATAATATTTGTTGTATCTTTTACCAAACCAACTTTTTGGATATATATGGGCCACAAATAAGAAATAAACATTGCAGTTAAAAAATGTTGAGTTAAGAAACTTATAGTTTTTAGTGCCGCACTATTACAATTTGTATACCCTGAACCCATTAAAAATGGGTAAAAAGGGTATATTTTATTTGTGCAAAACGCAAATGTATGTAACATGCAGAAGGAAGAATCTCCGACCCCATAAAGTATATATATTCTTGATCAGCATCAATAGCCGAGGCGATCTAGCCATTTCCGTGAGTCTATCAGCCCGTCCGTATGTATGAACGCAAGGATCTCAGAACCTAGAAGAGCTAGAGACAATTAGAGATGTAGGCTCTCCTTGTGCCTGCGCAGATCGAGTTTGTCTCCGAGAATCGATAACCTACTTCGTTTCCAAGCAATCGATAAAAATCGATATCGACATCCTTTTTTTTTTTAGCAATTTTGGTAAATATTTAGAGCTAAAGTAACCAAACTTAATGTGTTGCTTTTAGAATATTATATTTATATATATCAAATATCTTTCATTTTATACATATTGACACCTACCCGCTAACACCGCAGAGCTATGAATCAAGTTAATAACCCACCTTAAATTGCCAACCAATTTATACCACAATTTAAATGCAATTGACTTTTTTAGAATACACAAATATTCTATGGTTCAATAAGATATACTGTAGAAAATTTCATAAAGATCGGTTAAGAAAAAACCAAAGTTATATGCAACTGCGCAATTGAATGGGGCAGCAGCTTTACACATTTATGCGCGTCTACTTCGCATGCTAACAGCATGGTAATTGGGACTTTTTTCTGTAATGATATAAATATAAACTTTAATGTTGGAATAACAGGGTTCAGGGTATTCCCTAGTCGGGAACTACCGACTAGAACCTCTTAATTGTTTTTTTTTTTGCTGATGTGGCTGTTGAGTAGAGTCAACAGCAAGTAATGCGGTCAGTTGCGAGTACGAACCCTGCCAAGGGAACTTTTTTTTTTTAATTTATCTTTATTTCTTTGGACTAGCGCGTTGCGCGAACTGCATTTGGTGTTGGAATACGAAGGCTCAGGGGTTCTAGTCGGGCGCACCTGAGCACCCTAGGGAATACTCTGAACCTTCATTTACCAAAAGCAAATGAAGCTCGCACAACGCACTCGTATGCTTCAGCTTCTTCGATAGGGCTCAAACTCGCAACAGACCGCACTACTTGCCGCCGCCTCTACTAAACAGCCACACCTATTGTGTCTTAATGAGTTAAAAACGAACAAAAATAGGACGAGAGAAAACAAAGCAATCGCAATTGCAATGCTGTTGATAAAATTCAAAGAAGACACGCTTGAATGTGTGTGTGTGTGTGTGTGTCCATGTTTTCTGTACTTGCATTCTTGCATTTTTTGTTGTCGTTATTTTATTTTATTTTTGTGCTGGAATCAATCAGTGCCTTCTGATCTTTACCAAGCGAATCGTTTATAATACAGTGTAGTTACTATTATGTAACTTATATGATATTTATAAGACTTTCTCTTGAAATTATTGGTCCGGGTACAGGCGCGTGACCTCGCAGAGCTCCATTAGTCGACTTAGAAGGAGTCCCTTAAAGACTTTGGAGAGCGTTGGCTGCAGGCTTATAAGGCGGTAGGATTCCAGCTGAGTAAGCGGTTTGCCTGGCTTGGCGAACAAGATGATTTTCGCTTGTTTCCAGTGCTCCGGGTAGTGAGCAAGCCTGAGCATTAAGTTGAAGGTCATCGTGAGTCACATGATGCCTTTGCATGGGAGTGCCTTTGCCGCTCTGTTATCATTTCATCGTATCCGAGGGTCTTTAGCGCGAGCGCTTTCAGCTGTTTCCCGATTTCAACAGGGGAGATGCTCGTTATTGGGAGAGCCATCTGCAGTGGCGTGATTCAGTCACTTTGTGGTACTGTGCAACATCAGCGAATTGGAATGGCATGGAAATCTCCTCCATGTAAATAGCAAACGCGTTTTCGTCGTCCGATCAAGGCCAGAGGTCGGAATGATCCTTGATCCTTGAAGTATTCTTCTGGTGAGTTTCCACACTGAGCAGGTGCTGTTGCTGTCATGCCCAGCTGCTTCTAGTAAGCTATTGAGGTTGTCTCTTCGGGGCCTAGCCAGCCGTCGTCGGAGCCGGTTGGACGCACCGACCATTTCCGCCTTGACAGTGGGATCTCCGTAGCGGATGTACAGCCTCCTTAGACGTCTCTTGTTAACTGTGTAATCCCTGTTTTTAGGGATTAGCAGAGAGCTTCTGAAGGTGTGAGTAGGAGGCAGCGTTTGTGGGGGCGCACGTCTGGCAGCTTCCATTATTTGCACTGTAAGGTGGCCAACATAGCTCTCCAGTTGGCTTGCCGAGCTTGCATATGCCAGTGGCATCGCGACTCAGGAGAATGGTTGAACAAGGATGACCTGATCAATATTGCTGATCCTCTATGATGGCTGTTGTCTGTGCTGCGGGAGCAGAAATGAGTCTCCGTAAGCAGAAATACATCGCTATGGTGGAGCTCGTTGAAGGCTGTGATCTCATTCGCTTTCGAGAAGACTCCGTTAGAGTTTCACAGTGCTACCCTACGAGAGTTCATTTTACACACTGTTTTTGTTTGCGCTAGTACTTATTAGCTCTAGATATATTGTCTCTACGAGGGCTGAGTTGGGACTGATGTCAGCGACGGGATAGGATCGACCGTGATTGCTGCCAGTGATCCTTCTTCGCTCTTGCAATTTGCGGTTACTGCCCCAAACTCAAGGCCAGCCAAAACATGTTTTCTTTAATAACTCTTGTGTTTCTTAGGTGATTTTTATGAAGTTTCCTACAATACATCTTATTGTGGTATAGAATATTAGTATATTCTTAAAAAGTCAATCACATTTAAACTCTGGCTTTTGGTGGGGAGCATTAACTGGCTTATTTCCTTCATTTATAGCTATGAGGTAGAAGCGGCGAGTTGGCGATTGCCTTACAATAAAAGATACTTGGTATATAGATATACACTATGCTAGAAGATACAAGTCAAGTTTGTTGTTGGAGTGCAAAATAAAATGTTTATGCCTTAACATGTGATCCAATCATAAAAAGTTATCTTATGGGAAGTCTCTGTTAAGCTAAAGAGATAAATAAAAACGACCACGTTATTTCGTTCACTTGGAGGCTTTTTATTGAGTTGCCCACAACGAAGAACAGTAATGTAGCAATATTTGGGTAGGTTACAGATAGTGCAAACGAAATTGTACGAGGACTGAATGCAATTAGGCAAACAGGACGCGACTGCTGGACAACTTATTTAATGCAACAGAAATAGATTTCAGACGTAAATGGGACAAAATGACGCATGATTTGAAGAATTCGGATCGTGCCAAGGGCATGCAACTTCTGAAGTAGCTGCGTGCAACAACAATGACAAAGCAAGAATGAAGAAAGCGACACGCAATTTTGTAACCACAGAGCACTGAGCATGCACGGTGCATGTCTAGACATTGCACTCTCACCAACTCGACTTGAAATCAATTGAGTAAGACTCCACACACCAGAGGCTACGATAGATATCTGGCGAGCACTACTTTTCCAAAAACCCTATAAGGGGCTGCAATACAGTTTGAATCTTTAGAACGCCGATTACTTAACGATACAAGCCTGCAGTTAAGGTATAAAAAATTAAACTCAGAACAGATTTCGAAGCTAAGAGTCGTGTTTGATGAATTTTTCAAGACCGTGACCTCCATGCACTAAACGATGCAGTACATGTTGGACCAAGCATTCAGGCCAAATTGTTGTATGTGTGCTTACACTTTTGGATACATCGCTTTATTTTTTCGGCTGACATAATAAAAATGTTCCGCTTGATATGAATCACTTAGTAGCACCGCAACTACCAAGGAATCTTATGTACATCCACACCGCTATAAAACACTCTGAGTTATGTGACGTCTCATATGGTACGGCCTGCGCAGAGATCAGAATTCTAGAGCAACTGGCTAACGACTACGAGCGGGAGTATTCCAACACAGTAAGGATTCTATTAGACGATTTTTAATTCGATGTCTTCACTGGAGCAACAACTGGATATGAGTCTCTCTAGCCCCTAGATGAACTGATACAGCTTTTATCACAAGCACAGCTCGAAGCGGTAAAATGAACACTTCAGAATGAAAAGCAGTCGATACAAAGTGGGCCGAATGGCGCTAGTGCGGTCATTGAACTAGACGATTTGACATGCCTTCCTTCCTTCAGTGCCTTGTAGTTATCGCCAAGAGTATTCATTTGAAATGACCTTAGCAACAAATTAGTGCGATGAGGCCCTCAGGGTGAATATGACTCCATTTCATGTCAGTGGTGAGCTCCTAGATGGCTGCGATACTATTGGCATTGAAATCATATCAGTTCCAAAAAAAACGACGGATTAATTCATCAGTGTGTGCATTCGGTTGCAGCTGCGAGTCTACCAGCAAATATTGATTTACCATTGATCGCATTTGCACGTCCCGTCGCGACCCAACCAAACGAGTCTTTTACAATATCGGCAGTCAAGCAGATAGTTTAATCTGGCCTTCGCATAGCAGATCAAAAACAGTTGTATATTTAATTGAATATTTCATGATGCAGGGTCAATTGTGAAGTCAGGCTAATTATCGGTGATGGACGGTGCAATCAACCCCGTGGAGTACTCGACCGAGATCGGACATTGATGTTGATCGAAAAACCATCGGACGCAAATACGACTGCTGTTGATTGAAATATGCGCAACTGGAGCTGATGAGTAAGACGCGAGTTGTTGATATGCACCTGCGACCCAGAGTCGAGCAACGCCCGGCAGTGAATCAAGGAACCAGTGCGATTTTTTATGCTTGAAAAA